TTTTGTCATTGTTGCTACCGCCATCATAGACAGTTCGTGCAATGCTGTTGTGGTTGTATCAACTCGTCAAAAGTAAAACGTTGCTTTCCGATAAACACACCAGAAGCACTTTCACTCGTACCAGACGGAGGAGGATGAGGAGGAGGAGGAGGAGGAGGAGCGGGACCAGGGAAGGTGGACGCACAGGCAGGAGGAGGAGGCGGCGGAGGAGGAGGAGAAGTGAGGGTAGGAGCAGCAGCAAATAGTCTACAACAGTGACTATGAGCTACGACTTCGGCTCTTACTGAAGCTGATGCTGCGCTGCTATTGTGCTGCTGCATATGTACCCCGCTGTTGCTGCAAGAACGACGACCACTACGCGAGGAAGACTACGACTACTACGCTACGACGACCCTACACCCTAAACCCTAAACCCTAAACCCTAAACCAGTGCTACTGCACTTACCGGTTACACTAACATGCAGGCAGCAGGAAGAAGGGAGGGCTGATCACTGGCTGTAACAACACTCCAGCAGTTAACAGAGGGGCCCAAAATAGGTTAGCACTTTTATGTTGGGAAGTTCCGTATTGTTTTTTATTATTATTGTTATTCTTATTATCATAATTATCATAATTATCATTATTATCATGATTATCATTATTTTTATCATGATTATCATTATTTTTATCATGATTATCATTATTTTTATCATTATTATCAGTATTTTTGCATAATATACCCTCCCCAACCCTATTCTAAGTATTAAGGCACGTATAAACCCTAAACCCTAAGCCCTAAACCCTAAACCCTAAACCCTACTGTATTCGAAGACCAAAGGTTGAGGGCTGCAGGGCTCAAGGCGCTTGGGAGTTCGGGGCTTGGAGGCTGTGGGTACCAGGGGTGGCTTTTGAGGGGTTCAGGACTTAGGGTTTAGGACTTTGGGGTTTGGGGTGTAGGGTTTAGGGTTTCGGGTTTAGGGTTTCGGGTTTAGGGTTTGGGGTTCAGGACTTGGGGTTTCGGGTTTGGGCTGGGTTTGGGGTTTAGGGTTTAGGGTTTAGGGTGTAGGGTTTAGGGTGTAGGGTGTAGGGTTCAGGAATTTGGGTTTAGGGTTTAGGGTGTGGGGTGTAGGGTGTAGAGTTTAGGGTTTAGGGTTTAGGGCTTAGGGTTCTATAAGGGGGTCTATAGTCTCTAATAGGGTTCTATAATATTTTGTCGCAATGCCGGCTGCAGGTTGGAGGTGCCTGAGAATGAGATCGAATCTGATTCTGTGGATGAGAACTTGCGCATCATATGGCAAGCCCACTGTGCAAACGCCTGTAAACCATGCATCTTCATTTATCGCAAGGGAGACGGATGCCGCAAGGGGAACTTGTGCTCCCATTGTCATTTCTGCCTGAAGCGTCTAAGCGAAGACGAAATCGGCTATGTTCGGAGCGTCGACAGGCAGCCAAGACTAGTGTCTGACTGCTTCTTGTAAATCTCCGTTCGTTCGGTTGTTTGAAAACGACAGTCGGGTGATTGTCATGGCGCGTTTTTTTTAAGTGGCAGTCGCCCACTCGAAGTGTCGCGACTAGTGCTGAGACTGAGCTTGCTTGCGTCCTTTCCGTTTTACTGCCAGCCGCGGACGGTTCTGTCATTGCAAAGTACCTCAAGAATGCACACATGGGAGTTTCCGAAAATAGGGGACCCTAATATAGTACCCTCAATAATAGGATCCTTATTATAAGGACCCCCAAAAAAGGGTACCCCAATTTTCGGAAACCCCCACATGCATTGCGACTTCCTGGAGAGAGCCGGGGCTGGCTTTAGCACTAGCAGTCCTTTGCCAGATCATGTCCGTAGCGGTCACGGCTTCCCGTCTGCAGCGGTTCACTTTGGCTTTGGAGTGCTGAAGAGAAGCGTAGTTGCAGCAGTAGCAAGTGCAAAAAGCTATAGAGGAGGCAGCCGCCACGTTCGCCGGTATCGTCCTCATGCTAGTTGCGATGGTGGGTCGAGGGTCATGGTGGGCGATGGTGGTAACTCGAGGGAGTTGCAGGAATATTCCCTTTTGCACCGATTCCGGACGCTCATGTCGCAGAGAGTCCCAAAGACAAAATGTCAATGAGAGGTAATGACAATGACAATGCTTGTTTCTATTGGTTGAGGTCACAATAAGCTCGACAATGTTGAATGAAGATTCTGCCTCCAGCCTTAGACGGCCACGAGCTGTCATTAGTACTGCGGATCCTGTCACATTGATATCAACGGCCCCGTAGAAGTCCTTACCAACCCTAAACCCAAAACCTTGTGTCAGGGGCTCCCAATCCTGTCTTCAGTGCGACGGTCGTGCCAGTTGCAAGTCTTCCCCTTTCCCCTTGCTCCTGCTGCTGCTGTCGCTCTTGCCTGTGCTGATTCCGTGTAATATAGGGGCCTAAATAATTACCTATACTATTTTGGGGGTTCCTCATTCTTCATCGTATAGTATACCCCAAAACCCTATTCTGATTGTTAGGGCCCTTACATTACTCGCTGGTAGTCCTCGCAAGCCATAGAGCATACAGCAAGTCCTGAAAGCCCGTGAGCCGAGCCGAAGCCTTAAACCCTAATCCCTAAACCCTAAACCCTAAAACCTAAACCCTAAACCCTAAACCCTATAAACCTTTGGTCCGTTCAGCTAGAGCAGCCCACATCCTTTGTGATTTCAGCTACTTCGCAGCCGCCCATCATCCTGAAACCCGAAAGCCTTAACACATAAGATAGCGCCTAAATAGTTGGAATAGGGTTCGAGGTATATGAAAACTGTCAGTGTGCCGGGACCACAGTTCAGATTTCTGTCCATTCTATCTCTAGGTGGCAATTTGGGAAACTTTAAAATTTCCCTTATGGTTTCTATAGAGGTACCTATTCATAAATACTGTTCAGGGCCCCAAAACTACAACCCAGATCTTACACTAAACCCTAAACCCTAAACCCTAAACCCTAAACCCTAAACCCTAAACCCTAAACCCTAAACCGAATCCGTAGAAGCCACCAACATGGCCAGCATGGCGCTTCTGCCAATCCAGGCCCTCCTGCTTCCAGGGCTTAGGGTTTAGGGTTTAGGGTTTAGGGTTTAGAGGTTTAGGGGTTTAGGGGTTTAGGGTTCAGGGTTTAGAGGTTTAGGGTTTAGAGGTTGGGTTTGTGGGGTTTAGGGTTTAGGGTTTAGAGGTTTAGGGGTTTGTGGGGTTTAGGTTTCAGGGGTGCATCAGCCAGATTGCCGGTACTAGTAGGGGCATGGGTGTTTTTTGGCATGTTGCTGCTCCATATGGCAAGCAAACCCTGAGGCCTAAACCCTAAACCCTAAGCCCTCAACCCAAAACCCTAAACCCCCTAAAACCCTACACTCTAAGCCCTAAACCCTAAAGCCCTAAACCCTAGACAATAAACCTTAAAACCCTAAACCCTAAACCCTCAACCTGAAACCCTTAAACCCTCAACCTTAAACCCTAAACCCTAAACGCTCAACCTTACTTCGGCCCAGGATGTCTTTGGCTTCTCTTCCACACCCAGATTAAGGGTTCAGGGTCGAGGGTTTAGGGTTTAAGGTTTAGGGTTTAGGGTTCAGGGTTTAGGGTTTAAAGTTTTTGGTTTAGGGTTGAGGGTTTAGGGTTTAAGGTTTGGGGTTTAGGGTTGAGGGTTTAGAACCCTACACCCCCTGACTTCAGAGCCCTAGACTCTTGAATCTCAATCTTTCTATGCACCACTTCTTTTTCTGGAGGCCGAGCAAGGGACGGAGAGGCCCTGGCTTCCTGGCTGCGCTGGTCAACTGTGAAGGTTTGGGTTTAGGGTGTAGGGCTTGGGGGGTTTATGGTTTAGGGTTTATGGGGCTTAGGGTCTAGAGCTACTACTACTACTACTACTACTACTACTACTACTGTTCTTGTTGCTGCTTCTGCTCCTGGTAGTGATACTGCGACGAAAAGCGACATTCCCAATATGTATAGCACTTAGCACCACTCACGGTGGCAGGACAGGTGCTCGCAGTCTAATATAGTGGCCTGAATATATAACTATTCGTTAGGGTACAGGTTAAACCCTCAACAGCCCTATTAACCCTTGAAAGAGGCTATACGCCCGAACCCTAAACACTTTTTTTCTGACCATGCTTGGCAGGGCGCGGGTTCAAGTTTTTCGCTTGAGTGCTGTGGAGGTTTAGGGGTCATTTAGGGCGCGGGACCCCAGAGTCAGAAAAGCCAAAACGCTGAAGTCTCACCCCGGACCCAGAGCAGTCTCTAGAAGACTTAGAATGACAAAACCCCATCGTGCCATCATGTTAAAAAGCTACACCCAAAACCCCAATCCGTAAATCCGACGCCGTAGAACAACGAGGTTCGTGGACCTGCATGAGCGAGTGCAGTCCGGGTGCCCTGTGGTGCCGAGGGATATTTTGGTTTGCGGTTTTTCGGGTTAGGAATGCGGGGACCTGAAGCCCAGCGCACAGGCCTGAGAATTTCGATTCACTTCTCGTTGTGGTGGTTGTTGCTGTTGTTGCTATTGTGATGGTCATCATGGGCAATTCTGATCTGACTATCATTGTCAGGGTTGTCATCAGTGTTATGAACATTAGATTCCTTATTGGTGTTCTTTTCATGATGAGTACCCTTAAGCCGTTCCCCAAACCCCCAAACCCGAAGCGCTGAACCCTAAACCCTAAACCCTAAGCCCAAAACCCTAAGACCCTAAGACCCTAAGGCCCTAATCTCATTTGCGGCTCGGGTTCCGGGTTTAGGGAATAGTTAAGCTGACTTTTTCTTCGGTTCAGTCTTTTTTTTAAGGGAGGTAGGGTTTAGAGCTTAGGGTTCAGGGTTTCGGGAATAGTTAAGCAGACTCTTTCAACGAGAGGCCCGGGTTCGTTGGAAAATGGCCCTTTCAGGTTCAGGGTTCAGGGCCTAGGGTTCAATCAGCACCTCGGGTTCAAAATTTAGGGTTCAAGGGCCTTCAGGAGCTAGGGTGTACGGCCCAGGGTTTCAGGCTTTAGGGTTCAGGGCATTGGGTTCGTATTGGGTTCGTATCATAAGGTTTAAAGTCATTCTGGCGTTGAGCCGCAGGGTTTAAGGGTTCAGGATATAGGCTTTAGGGTTTAGGATCTAATCTCGAGGATTATTTAATTATCTAAACCCTAAACCCTAAACCCTAAACCCTAAACCTTAATTATCTGGTTTCTCAATGTTGAGGGCTCCTGGGTGGGTTGGGTATTTGTTTAGGATCACAACCGCGAGACTGCTCGATCCGGAGCTGCTGAAGCCTAGATCCTAAACCCTAAACCCTAAACCCTCCTAAAGGTTTCTGTGTCTGGCGCCTTGAGGGCTCAGAGGGCAGAATTCGTGTCAAATATCGCTTCACCCTGAACCCCAAGGAGAGTTTAGGGTTTAGGGGTTTAGGGTTTAGGGTTTTAGGGTTTAGGGTTTTATGGTTTAGGGTTTAGGGTTGAGATCGGGTCTTTTCGCACTAGACTTGGTGCCCACGGCCTTCCACCCAGCACAGCCCAACCCTAAACTCGAAACCCTAAACTTGGCTCTAAACCCTTAGAGTTTTAGGGTTTTAGTGTTTGGGGTTTTGGAGTTTGGGGTTCAGGGTTTAGTACTTGGGGATTTTCTGTCCCAGTGCCCTAAAGCCCTGAAGTCCAACATCCAAAACTTGAGCCGGTTCATGGTTTACGGTCTGACCCCAACCCTAAACCCTAAGCCCGACTTCAGAGCTTTGAACACCGAATTCTCGAAGCCAAAGCCGAGAACTCGAAGCCCAAAGTCTGGTGTTAGGGAAAACCCTCAACACAAAGCCGTCACCCATTAG